ATGGTTATCCCAACCATTGATCAGAAATACTTGGAAATCCCCATTAGTATTACGGAGCAACATGGATTTATTAAAGCTGTTTTTCTCCAATGACATATACTGAATAAGTTTGTCTTTCTTCTATGAAAATATCATATGCTGTACTTTATTTATGGAAACAAAATAACTACACTTGGTTGCCAAGGTCAATAATATAATTCAGGGGCCAGTAGGTGGCATAATGCTTAAAGTACTGACTCCCACAGGGCAGACTGTGGCTCAAGTCCTGGAAGTGGCAGCTTGAAAATCACACCTGGCATGTTGGCGTACGTGCCCAGGATACTGGCAAAAAAATTTGAGGAAAAGGGATTGCAGCATGGCCACCCTACCTTTAGAGTAATTTCTCTCTTTTTTTTAATCCACTGTATCTTTCTTTCTTTCTTTCTTTCTTTCTTTCTTTCTTTCTTTCTTTCTTTCTTTCTTCTTTCTTTCTTTCTTTCTTTCCAGTGAGCATACACACCCTATTGCAGAAACCTTCAACAACAAAATTCAACAGTAGAAAAAATATCTGATACTACAATTTAAAATTTTTCTGTTCATCATTCCATAACACTTGACCACCTCAACTGTTCTTCATGAAAATGTGCAATTTAACACTGAAACTTTAGTCTATAACTTGTCATTGGGTTTTATTCCCATCTTTAAGATCCTTTGTCTTACATATTCTGGTGACCGCATTTCCTTCATAATTCCTAAAATAAGTCATTACTATCTACATGTCTCTAAGTGGAATTTGGTTGGAAATACACCTTTCAATAAATGTTTGTGTTTTTATGGACTTAATGTCAGAGATTGATTTAAATATGATTCCCCAAATTCCAAGCTATGAATTATACTACTATGCAAAATATTTTTGTTTAATTATCTATATCTATTTTGTTATGTGTAAAAGGTTGGTGTTAATTTATAAAGGGGATTATTTATTTTGGTGAAGACTGGTTTGTTTTAATTTATATTTTATTATTAAAATATCATCCTACAACTTATTGACAATTTCTTGTGCTTCCTAAATATAAAAACCAATGAGACCCTGGCATTTGATAGGAAGTAGACATATATGGAATATTTACTGCTAAATGAAGCAGCTAGACTAATCTGTTTCTCTAAATGAAACATAGCCACCTTTTCTAAACTTTGTCACAATCCTCAAAGGGGCAGTGAATGGCTATTGTCAGTTTCATATATATTATATCTCCTTTAAGCATAGATATCTTTTCAATCTTCATAATCAAAGCATCACTGACAAGTAACCTTGAATATCTGTGCACTCATATGTTTCTGGGTCACAAGCATTTCTATACAAAATGAAATCTTGTTCTACTTAGCTTCTAACACAATTTTCTCAAACTTCTGAATAGAAAAATTATTATGAATACAGTCTTCAAAGATAAGGAAAAAAAGAGTCACAATACAAAGCAGAAGATTATTGTAATTATCCTTCATTCTGTTCACTTTGTTATTGCATTAGTTAGTTACTGCTTCAAAACATCCTAAAAGAAAATGGTTTAGTGTAATACATTTGTTACCTAATGTGACTACATAAGGGGCAATATTTCTGAAGCTTTCTGATCATCTCATGAATCTGTAGTTATCTAGTTATCTGTGATTCAAATAGGTACAGCTTATGTTGGCTGAGGTTTCTCATCTATTGAGGACTTGGCTGGCTGTTGTCTAATCTGCAGGGTCCTTGAGTAAGACAGCTAGCTCCTTCCACATTTTCTCTCCTTCTCAAGCTGGGTAGCCTGGATTTGTTCATGTGGTTGAGGCAAGGTTCCATAGAACCCAGAAAGACCATTAAGAATCAATAAACATCAACATACTCTCATGGTCAAAGTAAATTAAAACTACATCTGGTTTAAGCCTTAAAGGATGAGGCTTCACCCTCAGTGGCTAAATACTGTTAGAGAAATAAATGTGAATGAAGCCCCTATGGAAATTCTCTCTCAGGGCTTCAAGCCCCCCTCAGAGGTAAATATTTCTTGTTTGTCCATCACTTCCAACTGCCAATCCCTATTTAAGAAAGAAATCATCTTTTTTCCTTCAGACAATGGGTCCAGTGTTGGAATCTCATATGTAAATCTTGGATTAAGAGACTAGCTACAAGCTGCTTTAGAAAAATTGTTCATTTTTTCCCCATCCTTGCCATATATCACTTGTCTTGTGACAGCACTGCTCTTTTCATAAGACCCCCACATTTGTACAGGCTTAAGAACCTTTATTAGAAGAGGTGTAAAGTAAAGTGCAAATAAACAACAGAGATACAAGAAATTGAATGAAGATGGAGAATTAAGGTGTAAGTCCATTGTGGATGCCCTGAACGTAAGGCTTGAGAAGAGATGGGAGTCACTAGAGACGTCAAGTTACTTTGGGGTATCTGGTCTCCTCCCTTACTACCATACACATTATCATCAACAGATAATTTTCCATTTCTGTGTTCCTTAATGTTTTGTTCCTTTTTTTCCCACTTGATTCCATCCCTTTCACTAGCATCCCATTTCCCATCCTCCTCCCTCCCTGTCTCTAGTATCCATAGTTGCTCTCTATGGTTTTATAATTGCCAATCTTTCAGTTTTTTCAAGTGCAGATATTCAGTATATATTAAGTGAGGACATATTATGCCTCTCTTTCAGATTCTGGGATATTCTTTGTGGGTAGTTTTTTGTTTACCTAGTTAATTCTTTTAACAATTGTACGATAATTCAGAATTCTATTCTTTTTTAATTTTAAGAGAGACTTTTGCTATAGGGAACATTCAGTTTTTGTAGAGAAAGAAAAACACAGCTGGAAAGTGAGATCACTCCCCCTGAGGGGGAGGGGGAGATGACCACACAGCAATCCCTTCTCCTCTTAGGATCTTGGGTACACATGCATCATGAAATTTAAGCCAGTGGGTCCAGGACTCGAAATGAGGTTGATTATGTGGGAGTTCAGTGATGTAACCTTTATGCCATCTGCTGGTCCTGAAATTTCAATTCTTATTGCCTGTCGTTTTATAGGTACAGTGATAAATTTTTTTTTCAGAATAAATTTAGCCTTTTCATCTAAATTTTCCAATATTGATGAAAAATTATCTGTGATCTTCTTTTATTATATGCTTAATGTCTATACCATATGGAGTGATGTTATCTTTGGCATTCATGGATATTGATAAATTGTCTCTTATCGGTCTTCAAAAGAGAGAGAGAAAGAGACCAATGGGGCTATAAGTACCCATGATCTGCTATAAAATCCACAATATGTGAAACCCTACATTTTCAAGAGGAACAGTTAATATAATGATGTAAATCTGAAGGATGGCTGCAAAAGTAAATTACCATGGTTCCAGATATAAGTTGACAATAAAATTATACCAACCATGTTAGAGTTGCCTAGTGTAATTTATTCCATAAGCCTAAGACAACTCATCAAAATACAAGTTGAGTGCCAGCCTGGCTGTGGGGTTATTAAGGCAGCTGGATCCCACATGGCCAACTGCATGGTTTGAGTCAGAAATCTGGTGGCTTGCAAAACACCCTGGGCATACGTGCGTGCATGCTCAAAATCCCAAAGGAAGAAGAAAGGAGAAAGGGTTTCAGTGTGGCCATCCTCCCTGGGAATGCTTCCTCACTTTCCCTCTTTCTCTCTGCCTCATTCCAGTGAGCACATGCAACTTATAGTTTTTTTTCTTTTACTTTCAAGGTTTATTCATTTATTTCTTGTTGGTAAGAATGTAAACTAATGTAGCCACTGCAGAGGGCAATATAGATTCCTCAAAGACCTAAAAATAGAACTACCAGACGATCCAGTAATTCCACTCCTGGATATCTACCCAAAGGATAGGAATGCACTCTGTCGGAAAAACATTTGCACATCCATGTTTATTGCAGCATTATTCACAATTGCTAGGCATGGAACCAACCCAAGTGTCCACTAGCAGATGAACTTATAGCAAATTTAAAATACATCTATATTCAGGTTGAATTCCCTTTACCTAAAATGGTTGGGACCAGAAGTATTTAGGATTCCAGATTATTTCTTGTTTTGAAACATCCCTATGCATACACTGAGATATCTTGTGAATTGAGTACAAGTCAAAACACAGAATTAAGCATCATTTTGTATATACCTTATACACATGCCTGAAGGTATATACACTGTGGCATCAAATCAATGTTGAAAATGTTTCAGATTTTGAAACTTTTCTGTTTTCCAATTTACATAGCGTGAATGTGTGAGACAAATGAGAATCTCTAAATTGTTTTAGATATAACTATGGATAAAGAGGGAAATGACAAGCGGGAAAATGGTTGGAGATCAGAGAAGACAGAAAGCTTTCTAAAACAACATTATACATTTTATACAGCTGTACCATGGAGAGCAAAAAAATTGAAACACCAGAAAATAACGATAGACCCAAGGGAAAAATATTTAACGGAAACAAAACTTAAAAGTTATCTGTTGATAATGATATATATGATGATATGTGTGACTTGACTAAGCTGCACTATATTCACTCTAGGAAAAGTTATTTTGTATGCTGTAAAAATGTACAGTGATTAAGTGGAAATAAATAAAAGTAACAAAGTTTGAGTAAAGAGATTTTCAAAAGTTCTAATTCTACAATCTAAATAAAGAATCACTATTTTTGGCTCTGAGGCTATGGGTCTTTCTTTTACATACACATTTTTTTTTAGAGAGGTTTTTTGCTATAGGGTGCATGCACTCGCCAGACAGCCAGAGAGAGACAGAGCGACGCAAAGCGAGCAA